AATTATAAATTGAATTATAAATTGAATTATAAATTGAATTATAAATTGAATTATAAATTGAAAAGATGTTGAATCTCTATAAATCAAATTTGATAAAATTGAGTAGCCCTTTGGGAAGTCAGTTATTGCAACCTGCTATAATGAAGAAGAATAAGAAACTCTTTTTAAAAAATCTCCTTTGCAAATCTTTCATGTTTGTGACCAGGTAGTTCCAATTTCTCTGTGTAATGATCATTGTTCCCCTGGATATTGGAAGAAAGGAATGGAAGGAAAACAGTTCTGTTGTTACAACTGTGTTCCATGTCCAGAAGGGAAGATTTCAGATCAAAATGGTAGGTTAGACATTTCATCAAGTTTTATTAGATAGATTTAATCAAATTGTAATGCACTATTTTAGGATGCATATAATTAATAGTTTCACAAATTCCTCAGTCTGAATGTACATTTCTGCACATATGGATTACAGTCAATTGTCCCAAAGATGCTTTTTCAACAGGCAACGTTTTTGTTTTCTTGTTTTTCCTTTGAAGACATTTCACTTTTCATCCAAGAAGCTTCTTCAGCTCTGACTGGATGATGGGGAATGGAAGGATTTATACTCCTTGCAAACAGCTGGTCATATGCATTCTTTTGGAGAGTCATTGAGGCCATTTGGAGGTATATCTGTGTCATGAGTAGTGCAAATGGGTGTGGAGCCTTCTTAGAACTGTTCAAAGGACTGTGTTGTAGACTGGAGATATATGATTTTCAAAGGAAAAAACAAGAAAGTCCAGTTGCCTTGTGAAAAAGCATCTTTTGGACAACTATTACCTGGATGACTGAGAATATCCATAGACATTACAGTCAGGTGTTCAGGAGTCAAAGTTTGCCTATAAGATTCTAAGAAATAGTCTTCCCTAAAACAGGCCCCAAATATATATCTCTTGAGCCATAAATTGTCTGTGATCACAGGATTTCTTATCTATTTATGTACTTTTTACATTTTCAAACTCATTTGCATTTGCTGTTCTTTTCCCTAAGATTGTTAGCAAATTGATAGGAAAGACTGAGCCATGGTGGGGCAGTAGTTAGAATGTAGTATTGCAGGCTAATTCTGCCAACTGCCAGAGTTCGATTCTCACAGGCTCAAGGTTGATTCAGCCTTTCATCTTTTGGAGGTTGGTAAAATGAGGACACAGATTGTTGGGGCCCAATAGGCTGATTCCATAAACTGCTTGAATAGGGCTATAAAGCACTGTGAAACAGTATATAAGTCTAAGTGCTATTGCTATTGCTGTTGTTCAAAAGTTAAAAAAAAATACAATTTTTGTAAGGATATATTAAGCCTTTTTGCAAACATTCTTTTGTGGTGCTCCTATCTTATGATGTCATCTTCATAGCAGTCTAATCATTGTAAGTCAAGCTAAGTAATGTCTGATCTAATAAATAGCAATAAACTAGCACTTAGACTTATGTATCATTTCACAGTGCCTTACAGCCCTCTCTAAGCATGTTTACAGAGTCAGCCTATTGCCCCCGACAATCTGGGTCCTCATTTTACCAATCTCAGAAGGATGGAAGGCTGAGTCAACCTTGAGATGGTGAGAATCAGACTGCCAAAGTGCTGAATTAGCCTGCAATACTGTATTCTAACCACTGCGCCACCATGGTTAGAACACCACGTATTTGAATGGGTGATTACAAAGCTAATTAGAATTCATAGAGTAACTTGGAATTTACAGAAAAAGGGTGCTGGAAATAAGGAAGAGCAAATAAGATGAATCTTAGGAGAAAATCCCACATGAACATATCATTTGAGCCTATGGACATTGATTTAATTCAAAACCCTTTTAATTTTTTGGGTTTGGCCCATATTTAAGTATGATTTCAGGACCACTAGTCTCCACTTTTCAAAGACAACCTCTACTTCAAATTTAAATAAACAATGACAGGTTTTTGTTTTTGTTTTACAAATGATAGCATACAATTCAACAATAACTGTTTGATAGACTCAGGTCAGTTTAACCATGAATGAACGAGACATTTTCCCACTTGATCTCATTTTCTGGATATTATCTGCCACAAAAACCTGAAATTGAGAGAAACCAAAGGATATTCATCAAACCAAGAAAGATTTGTGAATGGGTCAAAGGGATATAGAGTGGGTGTATGTAGAACCAACTAATGTTTTCCACATAGAACACCAAAGCATACGCAAGATTGGGCTAGAGTTTAGATTAATATTTTGTCTTTATGGTAAAAGTAGGTGATTTGTTTTCTTTTTTGTACCCAACATTTTAAAATAAAAAAAACTAATGTTTCTTTAGCTTACTCACATTTTAGAGTTAAAAACTAAAGAGGTTAAATGAATTATATAGATTTGTGCTTCAGAGTTAGTACTTCTGTTTCTCTTACCATCATAACAGTTTTCTTCTCTGTGCTTTGGAAAAATCATAAAATTAAATATGGTCTTTATTGATTTCAAAGTATAATTGCCCTTCCCACTGTACTTATGAATTCTAAATGATAAAGTAGATGAAAAACTGCATTTTCACAGACAAATGATCACGGAAAGAACTCAAAATAAATCACAACAGTCATTCACTATGATTTTCAAAAATATGGATTGCATAGATGACAAATTCTTAACTTTTCTTTCCAGATATGGATAACTGTTTTGAATGTTCAGAAGATCATTATCCAAATAAAGAAATGAAAGGATGTATCTTAAAAATGATGGTCTTTCTAACTTTTGAAGAAAGCTTAGGAACTGGTTTAGCCTCTGCTGCTCTTTATTTCTTCTTCTTGACATCTTGGGCATTTGGAATATTTATTAAGCACCGGGATACTCCCATTGTCAAAGCCAACAACCGGTCCCTTACCTACACCCTCCTTGTCTCTCTTCTGCTTTGTTTTCTCTCCTCATTGTTGTTCCTCAGCCAGCCTGGCAAAGTGACCTGCCTTCTTCGACAACCAACTTTTGGCATCACCTTCTCAGTGGCCATTTCTAGTGTACTGGCCAAAACCATCACTGTGATTGTGGCTTTTATGGCCACTAAACCAGGATCTCAGATAAGAAAATGGGTTGGAAAAAGATTAGCTTTTTCTACTATATTTTCCTGCTCCATCATCCAAGTATGTATTTGTATTATTTGGCTGTCAACATCTCCCCCATTCCCTGAGATGGACATGTACTCAGAGTCACAAGAAATCATTTTACAATGCAACGAGGGGTCAGCTACATTCTTCTATTGTGTCTTGGGCTACATGGGTATCTTGGCTATCTCCAGCTTTATTGTGGCTTTTCTTGCCCGCAAATTACCTGACAGCTTTAACGAAGCCAAGTTCATCACCTTCAGCATGTTGGCCTTTTGCAGTGTGTGGGTCTCCTTCTTTCCAGCCTACCTGAGCACAAAAGGCAAAGCCATGGTAGCTGTGGAGGTCTTCTCCATTTTGGCCTCCAGCTCTGCATTACTGGGATGCATATTTTTGCCAAAATGCTACATCATTGTTTTTAGGCCTGAGCTAAACCAGAGAGAGCAACTAATAAAGAGTACTTAGTACATCATGTGAGTTTTCTCACTATGCAAAATTGCTGACAATTAAAAAACTGTTTGCTATCTCCTGTATACATATAGTTTTAATTTCTGTGAAAGGACAACTTATGGAGGATTATGATTGTTATTAAGACTTATTATGTTTGCCTATTCCAAAAGGAATGCTCATGCTATTCCATTTACAATCATTGTCCAAAGAAGTAAATAAATACATCACCTTTACAGGACAAACCAATCTGCCAATCTGGATCATATAAAATATATATTTAAAAAGAGGAGGCAAGTCTTTCCAAACAATTATTTATTAAAAATATTTCTTATTAAATATTTACACATATACTAAATGATACTAATTCCCTCATGTGTTACTTCTCCACTCATGTTTATAATACAATAATTATGTAACTTGATATTTGATAACCAAAGCCACCAGAACTAAAGCAAAACATGAACAGGGAGATTTACTATCTTCAGAGATAACACAAGAATGCTATACCTGCAGGTGAACAATCAGCAATTTGACATTTTATTTTATTTTATTTATTAATTCAATTTATATCCCGCCCTTCTCCTTACCGGACTCAGGGCGGCTGACAGCCTTATAAAACCAATGTTACAATAAATACCTAATTTAAAACCGAATTAAAAAGAAATATTTGTTATGGCCTATATAATTAAAATTTCTCTTAAAAACCCCACTAAAATTCCCTAGGCCAATCCCGCTTGTTGGAAG